TTGTAAATGTGGAAAACCCAAGATTCTTGAGAGTTTAAATTTAACGAATAACGTCCTAACGCTCTACTTGCCGAGTCTGCTGCGATACCAGCAGTTACAGAATAATCAACGAATTCATCCAAAACAATCCCCAAATATCTATACTTATTGGTATAATCTAACACGTCATCACCAATGCAAAATTGGAATGCACTTCTAGCTTCACTGGCTTTTCTAAAATGTAACATTTTCGATTTCACATTATTAACCCTAATTTTCCATTTTTTCACACCAACTATTTAAATGACTTAACATCATTTGCATATCAACACGATATCATCGGCGTATAACAAAATACTAACATTAACGTTATTATCAAGAGTTATTCCCTTTTGTTTCAGGTTAATTTCAACTGCCAAATCGTTAATAAAGATGGAGAATAATTTAGGAGAAAGATTATCACCCTGACGCACGCCTTGCTCAGTGTTAAACCAGTTTGTTTTAAAATCATTTAGTTTTACAGAAGAATTTGTGTCGCTATACATAGCTCGTATAGACTTGTACATTTTACCGTTAATTCCGTTAATAAGTAATTTGTATAGCAATGCGTCTATACATAATTATCAATATTTTTTTTGACATCATTGGAACATTGCATTTTAACAATATCAGAAAATACATTATTAGCTCTAGCAGTAGACAAAATAAGTCTTCTTTGAATGATCTATTTAATACAACTATACACTTCGATAAGAGCCATTATTGTATATGTATACGCCATGAGTTACAGCGTGGCGTAATTTTGAGTGTCTTGTATGGAATTCATTTTGAATGATTTTTGACAAGTTGAATGTAAAATATTTGAAAAAAGGTATATTTGCTGAATTTTATTTTCACTGAATCATTTCTTCAGCAAAAATGGCGAAAATTAATTCCAATCGAAAATAAAGTATTTTACAGTAGTTTAGATGGAATATCCAAGAAAAGAAAAATTTCCTAAATGAACTCCTCTGATGAAGCTTCTGCATATTTGGTGTGGGAAGAGAAAAAAAAAATCCCTAAACTTAGAAAATTACGGAAGTGTTTGTCCAAAAATCTGATGAAAAATTTCTCCCAAAAAAATGTTTTGAAGAAGTTAAATTCATGTCTTGCCATGAAATGGCATGCACTACACAATTAAGTGTCTGAATAGTTTGGAAATGTTAAACTACAATTTTAGCTTGAATCACAAGCAGATTTTATTACTGGTAAATGTGTTATATTTTCTGCTATTATAATTATATATATTTAATAGAAATTTGAATCAAGCAAACAATTTAGTCTTTTTGAAAATCTAAAGCATTTTAAGCATCTTTGTATAGGAGGCAACACTTTGTATATAAAATGAATGCAATAATGACGGTGACCTGGGGTCATCCTGTATCAGATGATCACATGACGTAAAATGAGCAACATTTTCAGGGTCATTGCTTTATCCATTATCAATGAAATGAAACAGATGGTTTTGGATCAGTGGCCTTACCAGGCTATTCCAACAGCTGGTGAAATCAAGCTAAGTAAGGTCAAGGTTTGATAATGCAACTGTATTATAGACACGAGTGAAAAATCAGTTGTACATAGCAAGATTATTATTGTGATAATTTAAAACTAGACTAGTTTATAATATGGTGTTATCGAAATACAAAGGGTAATAATGAATGTCTATATATATAGCAAAGTCAGCAACAAAAATATCGTGCTGGTAACCATGCATAGACAGAATAAAATTAAACTATAATTCTGCAGTTTGAAGTATAAATAGTTAATTTAAAGGGCGGTGGTTGTTGTGCAGTGCATGTGCCACATTTGTGTTGATAAACATTGATTTTCCCATAATCCAATGCGCTCTTCAAATGGAAATCACAAGTATGAGGTTTGACCTGGGCGCGACTTGCACTAATTACCGGCGGTGACTCCTTCGATACCTTCCAATCACTTAAATAAGACCTAATTAAAGCTTGGTAGCGTCTCAGTTTATACTCGTTGATCTACGCAACAGTCAAAGTCACCATCTTTATTTATATGAGACCCATATATCTCGCACATGTGTGGCACGATGACTACTACCGTTTGTTTTCAGCATATATAGAGAGTCTAAGAAATATAAATATACAATTAATTCACCATATACAAGAGCCCACTGTGAACATGCAGTGCACACTACACATTGACATAGTGTTGGGTACTTCACGTACAGGAGAACATTCCCCCCAAAAAACTGATTCATACAAAAATAGATTTTTGGATGAATTTAGATTGCAAGAAAAAACCTTGTCAAGAATTTCACTGAACTACCTGGTCTCATTGTTACCACAGTGGATGCTGTGATATGCCATTAGGTATCTGAATCTAACCTGGTTAGATTATCAGCCCAGTGAATGCTATTTTAGGTCACCATGGTATCTGAACTACCTGGTTAGATCATCAGCCCAGTGAATGCTACTTTAGGTCACCATGGTATCTGAACTACCTGGTTAGATCATGAGCTCAGTAAATGCTACTTTATGTCACCGTGGTATCTGAACTACCTGGTTAGATCATCAGCCCAGTGAATGCTACTTTAGGTCACCATGGTATCTGAACCAGCTGGTTAGATCATCAGCCCAGTAAATGCTACTTTATGTCAGCATGGTATCTGAACTACCTGGTTAGATCATCAGCCCAGTGAATGCTACTTTAGGTCACCATGGTATCTGAACTACCTGGTTAGATCATCAGCCCAGTAAATGCTACTTTATGTCACCATGGT